TCGTCTTCGTTATCTTTATTCAAATTATTATTATTTCTTAATTGTTCCAATTGTTCTTTTAAATAATTTTTTTGATTTGAACAATAAAATTTTATCTGTTTATTATAATGATGATAATGATGATTATTGATAAAAAATTTTATCCGTTGATGATGATTAAAATGATAATTAAGATGCTGTTGTTGTTGATGCTGATGATAATGATGAAATTTTAACAATAATAATGATGATAATGAATATAAACTATTACGGCGATGGTGATGATGTTGATGATGGCAAAGTGTTCGAATCGAACACTTTGACAAATTGAAGAAAAATCCTATATAATATGGGACCGTAATTTTTTTCAGCTATTTGTTTTTTTTTCGTTGTTGTTTTGGTAGGTTTTTTTGTTTAAAGAAAAATTTTAAATTATTTCATTCAGAAAACATTCAGATTTTTTTTAAATAAATGAAAAAAGATCGGAAAAAAATCTCACTTTTAATGACATTAAAAAATTAATTAACTTCGGGGAGAAAAAATTTCGACGGCTGCGACTATTTAGGTATTTGAAGGGCAATTAAAAAGAGAGAGAAAAAAAAACAATTTAGTAAATTTTCAATTAAAAAAAACACCAAAAAATACCTTTGCAAATGATGATTGTTTTCATTAAAGAATCGTTAATATGATGCATTGGAATTTTTCAGCCAAAAAATAACAAAACAAAATCTTGAACAGGTATAGGTGTGAATGTTTTTTTTTGTTTGGGTTGTTGAAAGAATTTTGAAAAAAAGCACACTTTAAAATCAACGATGAAGATGAACAAATTAATAAAAAAAAATTATATCATCATTTTAATTCATGTTGTTGTTGATGTTTTTGATGATTGAAAAAAAATACGATTAGAAATGAAAATGTAATGGTAATTGATGATGGAGCAGAAAAAAAACACATTGATGCGGCTCAAACAAACACACACAAAAACACTTAATTAATGAAATACCGAACCCAGATTTTTCTTGTTTGTAATTTGTAAAACAATCGAATATTTGATTATGATGATTCGATTATAAATAAATAAATAAACAATATATGGTGCGGGGGGCAAAAACAAATATATAATAAATAAATTTGAAAATGAAACAAAAATTGATATTTTTAATTTGATGAAAAAAAAAAAATTTTTTTTCGATTCGGAAAAAAATAATGAAAATGAAAATGAAAATGAAATGAAAAAACTTCACATCGAATGCGATGACGACTATCGCGAGTCAAGCTAAAAAAAAAAGCCGAGTGTTTTTGTGTGCTATGTGAAAAACGGGAGTGAGGGTGAGCGGTATGGTGTGTGTGTGTGATATTTTAGTTTTGCTCACACAAAAGATGGACGTCGGTATTAACACGTACACAATGGTTATAGTCACAATAATCATTCGAAATTAATGTGACAAATCCTTGTTCAAATTCAATACAAAAAACAAAGATTGTTTTTCATTCATTCATTTTTTATTTTTGATCAAAGATAAAATTTTTTATTTCTGTAAATCATAATCAATTATTGAATGGATGTTTTTTTCTTCATGGAAAGATTTTTCAATATTTTTAAACGCCCAACACCTTGTGTTTTCATAAGTCATGTATATTCTGTGTTTTGATTGATCAATAAACGTATTGTCATTGTGACTAATCATTCTATTAGGTTTTCATCATCATCATCATCATCATAATATCATCATCTAATTCGATCGGTGTGTAAATCTTTGTACATGTCTGATGATCCATGCTCAATGCATGCATATAATGCATGCATGGAACGTATAGGCCGACATGTTAAAAAATGCCGGGTTGCAATGATTTTTTTTTATGATTTTCTTTCTAATTAAAATGACCAACAATATTCTTGGTTTCCTTTTTTGGGGAAAAAAATGATAATTTTATTATTCCCGAATCATTTTTTAAAAAAATCACTAAACACAGAATTTTTGAATTGCCCATTTTTCCTTGCAAATTCTTTGCCTTTTCCGGTGATGTTCTTTTTGTTTTTTTTTTGTGATCAAATTTCAAAAAAAATCAAAATGGAAATAAATTACGTAAAATCTTACTCTAAAAAACAATTATAAAATGAAATATGAAACTTTTTTCGGTTTTGTGAGAGAAAAAAAGAATTGGCCAAGGCTCCACCGAGATTCGAACTCGGGTTGCTGGATTCCTTCTTCTTGTTGTTATTGTTTGTTTTCAAAATTCTATTTTCGAAGAATTTTTCGAAATATTCAAAGTCCAGAGTGCTAGCCACTACACCATGGAGCCAAACAGTTGGTTTAGATAGGGTTAAATTATTTATTTAAACGAATAGAATTTTTATCAATTTAATCATGAAATTCTATAAATTTATCGATAAAAATTATTAATTCAATTAATTTATTATCAATTTCATTATAGATTTAATTTAAATTTTACAAAAAAAAATTACAATATTGCAATGTTGTGTTGAGAATTCGTTTTTTTGTCGGAGGGGAGAGGCAGATAAAAAAAAGTGATAGAATTATGTTTTGAATTCAATTTTAAGATAGATTTGGTGAGCTATTTCGTTTTGTTTTTTTGTTGTGATTTGATTAAAAATTTGATTCAGGATCATCATCATGTCGTAATGTTGTTTTATCTGAAATTATACCACCATCATCATCATCATCTAATGGATTAGTTCTTTCATCCATACTACTAGCTGATTGTATAATAATATTATTAGGACGATCATTATTATTATGTTGATTATTATTTCGTATAGACATTGATGATGATGATCGAATAGTTTTCAGATCCGATACGAAAAAAGCACAAATAGTAGCTACAATTGTACCTTGAATAATACCGACTAATACATCACTCCAATGATGTTTATAATCGGAAATACGCGTAAAACCAGTATAAAATATCAAACAAATTAGTAGATATTGATATAATGGTTTAAAAAGGCCAATATTTCGCCATTGAAAACGAAATTGTATATAATACTGAAGGGGGAGGGGAAAAATAAGAAAAGAATTAATTTCAAGTAAAAATTTTTATTAAAAAAAATTATTTAAAAAAACTTACAACCAAATACATTAATGTAACGGCAGAAAATGATGAATGTCCAGACATAAATGATAGTCTTGAATCTTTAAGTCTATAGTTATCATTTTTATTTTTAGTACAATTATAATCTGTAACATAAACATCTGGTGTTGAACATGTTGAAAAACGATCATAAACAAATCCTTTATCATCTTTTGGATGACATGCATCAATAAAATGTGGCCGTAAACGACCAATACTATATTTTGCAATATCGGTAATTAATTGTGAACCTAAAAAAGCGAATGCAAACGGTATCAAATGTATATATAATTGCCAAAGATAATTTTTAAGAAAATATCTTGATGATAAATCAAAACCGGACATAAATTTACGATAGATTAAAAATTCATTGATACAGATCTATGAAAGACAAAAAAAAATTATTTAATGAAATCAATAGTTTCAAATCAAATCAATACATACAGTTAAGACTGGTATTAAAATTGAATATAATAATAATATATTACTTGGTATAGTACTATCAATAAATGGATAACGTATACTATCATCATCACAATAGAATCCACGTTTATATGGTTTTCCCATTGTACATAGAAGAAGAATCGGTATCGATACTGGTAAACAAAGAAACAAAAATTCGAATCAATTAATTTTCGAATGGTAGAAATAAAAAGAGTTTTTTTTGACAAATACTTGATATCAAAACAGATGAATCGATCAATATTCTGATCAATAATTGAGATCGATTTGGAATGGCTATAATACGTGGTAAATATTGCATTGTATTTCGATTTCGATGTCTATGTCTATGATCAATATTTTCACTTTTCAATTCAACAATATTGATATCGTTATTGTCGATAGCTGTTGTTTTTGTGATTCGATTTCGAATGTTTTCTTCTTTATCATTTGTTTCGGTCTGTTTTTGCTGTTGTTGTTGTTGTTGTTGCCGTTGTTCATTTATGTTAATCATGTTTTATAAATAGGATCGTTGTTTGTTTTGATGTCGATGGCCTTGTTTTTTTTATCATTCGATTAATACAAGAGAAAAAAAACTGTAAATTTTTTTCGATGACAAACATACAGTTGTTTTCTAACCCAAAAAACCAAAACAGAATTCGCGAATCCCAAAAATAAGAATGACTCAACCGTTTTTTTTTTCTTTACGCAAACAACACAACTTAAATCAATGACACCTGTCGTTGATTTTTATATATTTTTTAAACATTTTTATTTCAACAAAAGATGATGATTGATAAGACAGTCGGATTATAATTGATTTTTTTGATTGAAAATTTTAATTTTTTTTTTCAAAAAAATGATGATAAAAACAAATGTTTTGCCGATGTAAAAAATTCACAAACAACGTACGGAAATTTTTGTTTTGTTTTCAGTGATCGTCGTTTATTCGTCGTTTCACAAAAGTTCAATGATCAAAATGATTTCCAAATAAATATTTCATTCAATTTTTTTTTCTGGAAAATTAATCTGATCAGATCGGAAGATCAAATAGAAACAAAAAATCTGGCTGTCGACGTTGAATCAGATTGGGATATTCGCCAAATATTGAAAAGAGAAAAGCAAAACTTGTTTTCGAAAAACTGTTCTTCAGTTATCGATGTCCTGATTGTCTCTCTCTTTTTCTCTTTTTTTTCTTGTCAATGATATGTATGAAACACAATCAATTTTGGTTTGATTATGTCAAACACATACGAATTAGAATCAAGTGATGAAATCAACCGAAAAAATCAAATAACGAGAGAGAGAAAAAAAAATAGAGAAAATTTTCGAACTGAATAGAGTCAAAATAGTCAATATACAAAAGGATTTATTATCATCATCATCATTATCATCAACCATGCATGGTATGAATGTTAAATCGACCAATTTTTCATCATATTTTAAATCATTATCATTATGTTTTGGCCCATAAATTAACCGAATTTTCTATGATTTTTTTGTTTTCCAGGTCAAATTCAAGTTTTTTTTGGTCGAAAATATTATCAACGAAAATAAATCATTTGATAATTTTTTAAAATTGGCAATGAAAAATCCATCATCAAAAAAAAATGATGATGATAAAAATTATAACAGGATCATTCACTGTTGGTCTTTTGGAATTAAAAATTCATTATGATTATGAAATGATGGATAACAACAACAATTTGTAATGATCAATTTCTACATCATTACAAATCGACAACCGGTTTTTTTTTCGGTTTTGGTTGTAAAAAAAGCAATCGGATTTCATTTTGTTTTGTTTTGTTTAGTTGTTTCCACTTCAATTTGAACAAAATGAAAAAAATTACTTATTTGATAAGAGATTGGAAATGATAAAGGAACCAAAAAAATAAAAAACATGGCAAAACGGATCAAAATAAAGTTTGTCCATCATCACAATACAAAAGTGATAACATTGTTGATTTGTTTTGTTTGTTTTTCTTGATTTTCAAAGAAGAAAAAAACATGAAAACAAAGAAGAGAAAAAAAGAGATATTTAAAATCGATTTTGGAAAAAAAATGTCTGTCGATTTTCCCATAACATCGATCAATTGATTATTAATCAAATTGATTGCTTTTTAATTGGCAATTATTATTATTACCGTATTTAGAGATTGATTGCTGATAATTATCATCATCATTTTTAAAATGATGACAAGGTTTATTTTGTAGTTGATGTTTTTGGCTACCTTAACATCAACTATATCTACACAATGTCAAATTGTTTTCAATTATCAATCAACATTTGAATGATTACCAAATAATCAATCCAAAAATGAAACAAAAATCTTTAATTTTAATTAGTTTATTGTTATTGATTGATCAATGGTCATTGAATAATGGTCATTCAGGTGCTGTGGTTGTTGTTGTTGATGGTGGTGTATCAGCATGGAAACCACAATCATATTGTCATAGTCCATCAAATGGTCGATTTGATAATATAACCGAATTTACAAATGCAATGTGTACATATTGTTTATGGACAATATATACTGAATCAACTTATTATGTTTGGCGTAATGGTTATGATTTTAATCGTTTATTATTTGTTGATCAATCATTTTCATCAAATTCAATTGTTGTTAAAGAAAATTCAACACATGCTTATTATTATGATGTTGATTATGATCATTTTAAACAATTACGAACATTACGACAATATAATAATGATCCAATATTAAAAGATTTGGCCAATGAACTATTTGTGGTATGGAATATTTTCTTGTTTGTTTATTTTCTGATGAATTCTGTTATCAAAAATTCAATCAAAAAAAAAATTAGGATAAAATTCTACAATGTTGTCAAGATGCACATGATTGTTGTCAACGAATGCTTAATACAACTATTGATGATAATCATATTGGACAATGTCCAATGATATGGGATGGTTGGTCATGTTGGGATCCAACCGAACCAAATACAATCGGTAAAAATATTTGTCCAGATATGTCATTATTAGCATTTGAAGATTATTATGATAATATTCCTTCGTGTGTTCGTTCGAATGCAATGAAAACCTGTCAAACAAATGGTACATGGATACAACATACTGATTATGGTGAATGTAGTATATTGGGTAGATATACAAGAGAAATTGCTGTCAAATCAAGAATTATATTACAATCAATATCGATTTTATTATCAATTATTGCCATTATAATATTTATTTATTTACGTTTATATGTAAAATTTTATATACAATTATTATTGAATTTTTTCTTGTCAATCATATTATCATCAACAATATCATTATTATATGATATTTATGTTACCAAAGGTCATATAGAATTTTCAGAGAATACTATCCTACAAAAGTAAGTACTGTTGTTGTTCATCAACGTAAACATCCAAATGAAAAATTGATTTTGTTCTTGTTTTTCTTGTTGTTTTGAATCTAGCCCAAATTATTGTCGAACATTTACATTTTTTTATAAAGAAACAAGAATGATGAACTATGCATGGATGCTGATTGAAGGTATATTTTTACATAATAGTGCTGTATTTGCATTCAATTGTCGTAAAATGACTGAATGGCGACGAACAATATATTTTTTTGGTTGGATATTACCAAATATTATAATGATAATCTATGGTATTATTCGATTGAAATATACCGAATCGTTTGATCGTTGTTGGACCGATTCGATCGGTAATTTAGAATGGATATTTTTATTTTTTCCATATTTATGTTTTGTTGTAAGTTTTAGTTGGGAATTTTTCTTTTTTCAATCCTTTAAAATTTTTTGTTTTGTTTTTTTCCCAAAGGTCAACCTGTTGCTCTATATCAATCTGATTCGTATCATATTAATCAAATTAGTATTTGTTAAAAATGGTCAAATGGATTGTACTGGTATTAAATTAGCATTAATGTTGATGCCAATTTTCGGTATACAATATGCAATACATATGATAATAATTGATCCAACACAAACATGTCAAACATTTTTATTAACATTATTTCATTTACAGAATATGATTGAATCATTACAGGGTACAATTATTACATTTATTCTTTGTTTTCTCAATAAAGATGTAAGTAACCAATCAATCAATCAAATTTCTTTTCTTTATCATTCGATTGTTTTTTCCCCCCATTTAGGTATATAAAACAATAAGTAATTCGATACGTAAACATAATAATCGACGGAAAAGTAAACTTTCAACATTCATAACAACAATGAATGATTCAGCCAAACAAATGGAAAATTCACCATCATTATCATCATAATCATAATAATTATCGATTATTGGAACGTGGATAATTTATTTATTTTGGGAAAATTTTACTCTTTTTTTTAAAAATTAAAAATATCTGTTCATTTTTTTTATTAAATTCAAACATAATCAATTTGTTTCAAATTTCATTATTGCTCGATCAAGATTGTTGGTTAATTGGCCAATTTTTGTATCCAATGAATCACGTGCATTCATGTTTGTTGGTCCCAACATATTCTGTGTCAAGATCTTGATTTAAACAAAACAAAGAAAAATTAATCAATCAATCAGTGTCAGTTTTCTGTCTAAACTTACGCTTTTAATGACAAAAATATGCTTTAAAATGTGTAATAATAGTGCTGAAAGAGAGAAAGAAAACAACAACAAAATTGACGATATTTGGTGATATCGTTGAAGGGGAAATTGTTTTTTTGGAAAATTTAAAGTTAATTTAAACAAATTTTTTTATAAAATAAAAAACAATCAACAAACAAAACATACTCATTAACATTGGTGTTGTTAATAATATTAGAAAAATTGATGGTAAACTTGCAATCACTGTATCGGGCCATGATTGAAATAATGATTTTCTATCTGATTTTTTATATGTATGTACGAATACTGTTTTAAATTTTGATGGGAAAAAAATTTTGATGAAAAAATCAAACAGAAAGAAAATTTGAAAAACTTACCTGGATAATGTTTAAACGATGATTCATCATAATCATGATGATGTTGATGATGATGCGGATGATGATTATGATGATGAAGATGACGTAATAATTGGCCTTGATCAACATTATTAAGATTATTATTATTATTTCCTAGATCATCTTTAGAGGATTTAAAGGGGTAAACAAAACATAAAATGATTAGAAAGAATAATTGACCATCCAGGAAAACAAACCAGAAAAATTATCCATAATCATATGATTATCTCCCATTATATCCGTTAATGGAAGAAAATTTTTCAAATCTCGTTTATTATGATTATTACTGCTACTGCTGCTGCTGCTGCTGATTGTTGTTGTTGTTGATGGTGATATGATTGGTTGATGATGATGATGAAGAGCATCATTATCATTATCATCATCATTCATTAAAGATTGACCAAACGATGATTGATATTGATGATGATTATGATGATCATAATAATAATGGCCATCGTTGGTCAGATAAATTTTTTTCAAATTATCATTATTCATTGAAAAACAATGATTGAATTTGAATATAAATAATAATATTAATAGACAGAATTTTTTGTTGAAAAACATATTTTTTATTCGGATGCAAAATAAACTACTTTTAGTTAAAAATTACAAAATTGAAAAATTTTCGAAGAAAAAAAAATGTTGCCAGTTTTATATAGCCATCACCATCATTGTTTGTTTTGGTTTTTGGTTTTTTCCTTTTGATTCATTGAATGGTCCAATGAACGATCACGAACCAATTTCAAATTGAATCTGGTTTTTTTTTGTTGGGTAAAAAACATCTTGATGAAGATGAGATAAAGATCTTGATTTTTGTTATTGTTATTGTTTGTTTGAATTTGAATGAAAAATTCTGCTCTAAATAATTTCCCACTAATGATCAATTTGACTTTCTTTCTTTTTCAATAGAATTTCAATGATAAATTATCATCAATAACCATAAACCATTATAAATTTATCAATCATATTTGTTATACGTTCGGATAATAATTCAATTGTTTCTTCATTCCATAGAATATTATCATCAATATAATCATCGTCCATATCAATATTTGAATTTATCATTATAATTGAACGTCGACGTCTTCTTCGTCGTCGTCGTCGACGACGACGTCCAACTGGACCAAATGCACTTGCCGTAAATCTTGTCGAATCATTATTATTGTTCATATTGTTCATTGTCTGGATATGGGGAAAAGAAATGATGAGATTTTCAATTAGTTTAGCGAAAGAAAATTATTGAATATTTACATTTTGCATCATTGCCAATAATGCCAATACTTGTGTGAAAAATGCTTGAAGAATGATTGAAAACAAAACGATTCGCGAATTAGTTTAATTGATGAATTCAAAAAAAGGTAAAATTTATACTTACAAAATAATAATGGTAATAATAATAATGGCAATAATGATAATAATAATAATGGAAGATAATCATCTTTTTTCTTATCAACATATTGATTATAATATGGTTGTGGTTGTGCTGAATGTATGTGAACTTTATTTTGAAGAAAAAAAAATTTGAAATTTTTTGTTAAAAAAATTCATAGAAAAAAATATTTACTTGATTTGACTGCCGAACCATATTCACCGCCTCGACCATAACCATCATTACCATCTACAATTTGAAATTAAAAAATTAAAAGCTCCCACATATCATAAAAACAAAACAAACTTACAATCCATACGATCATTTATATTATGATGATCAACAATCGGTTGTGTTGATGATGACCAATATCGATGTTGGTGATGATGATTTTCTTGTTGTTGTTGTTGTTGTTGTGGATTATGTAAAAAATAATAAAATTTCTTTTTACTATAATAATCACCATCATCATCATCATCTTGATCTTGATCATCATAATTAAAACGTTTTGATTGATATGGTATCATATTTTTTACATTCGTTGTCGAAGACGTTGACAATGATGATGATGTACAATGTACAATAATTTGATTAAATATTGTTATTAGTAAAAAATTTATAATTAAAATAACAGGACTAGTAAACATGATAATTTAATGTAATTTTTTAAAAATTAAAAAAGATTTAGTAAATAAATTAAAAAAAAGATCCAAAAATGATTATTAATGATAAATTCGTTTGTTTGGTTCCGTTACACATATATTACACACAAAAATACAAGACTTGTTATCTTGTCATCATCATCAATGTCAATGTCAATCAATGATGATGATGATGATAAATGATCATTCTGAATTCTTTTTTTTTCATCACTTCATTCATCATTTTTTTTTCCAAAGAAAAATTTTCTTCTTTGGAAAAAAAATAGGAAGATATTATCATCATAATAATAATGATCATCAATTAAGGTCAAGTTCATCAGATTCTTTTTTGATGATGATCCGGAAGAAAAAATTAATTATGTAACAATTGAATTTGAATTTGTTTTTTCTCTATTTTATTCTGTTGTTGTCGTTATAATTTTTTTATTTTTTTGTAAAAATTCCATTCCTTTTTAAATCAATTATCAACGAATATTTTTTTTACGTTCGAATGAAATAATAATATTGTTCCGATTCATTCATACATTTCAATGATTTTTTTGTCGTTGTTATTGTTGTTTTGGCTGAAGAGACTAGTCAAATGTCAATGATGATAATTATTCAAACAGATCAAAAAAATTGTCAAGATATTTGTTCGTCGATAAATGAATCTTATTGCGGCCAAACCTATTACCTATGTTCAAATGTCAATGTGTTTTTCGTTTGTTGAAAAATTCATTCGACCGAACCGATAATAACTTGTGGAATAATAAACGAAAAGCAAACGAACGAACATACAAGTTTTAACCCCCTCCACAAAAAAAGGGATCTTTCTATCCATCAATACAAAAAATAATTTGTTTTTTTTTCGATTAAAAAATCATTATAATTATGATTGTTTATTATTTTTGGTAAATTTCTTTAACACTCTCCATCTTTGTTTTTGTAACAAAAAACCAATCACATTCTCTTTCTGTAGATATAATGATTACTTATTCTTCATTTTTTGGGCATAAATAGTCAGTGAAATTGATGTGAAAAGATAGAAAAAATGAAATGAAATTGGAGATTATTCAATAATCTTTCAGCAGCAGAAACAAGAAAAAAAACGAAAAGGTAATGTTTTTGTGTATTGTTTGTTTTGTGTATTTGGAGAATTTTTAAACACATTTTTTATCATCATCATCATCATTAGCATTTTAAAATGTGACATAATAATAACAATAATAAAAAATAATGGTAGAAAAAAAAATGAAAAAGTTTTTTTTTATATACTTTTTTCTTTAATTATTTGGATTGTAAATGTGTGTGTTGTATGTGTGTATTTCAAATGTTTCAAAATCATCATTATAAATTGTGGTGATTAATGCAGATTTTATAAATTATGAGAAGAATATTTTTTTAAATGTTTGTTTTTTTTAGAAATTGTAATTGAAAAATGAAAAAGTGTCTGTGTGCTTGTGTGTGTGTCAATGGATGTACAACTGTGGTTACATCAACGATTTTTTTTTTGTTTTGTGTTTTATTTAAATCAAAATTGTGAATGATGATATATATTGGGATATTTTCATTTATATTCTTCTCATTTTTTTTACATCATAATCATTTATGATTAGATGTTTATGGTGATGTGTGTGTGTGGTTGCATTCATTTATTGACGATTTGGACATTGAGCAGCAATGTGACCAACTTCGTTACAATTGAAACAACTCTTGGCACGTTCTTTACGTGGTTCTGAACAATCACGACTAAGATGGCCTTCCATACCACAATTGTAACAGGTTTTAGCACCTGGTGGTTGTGTACAATCGCGACTAATATGTCCTTCACGTTGACAATTATAGCAACGTTGACCGTTTCGTGAACGGTAAGTCATACCATTTCCACCATCTCTTCCACCACCACCACCACCATAACCAGAATTCATTTGTGATTTACGACAATCATATGACAAATGTCCATGTTGTCCACAATTGAAACAACGATTATTGCTACGTCCATAGCCACCTCCTCCACCACCACGTTGACGATCATTGTATCGATACTGTTTGTTATCGCCATCCATCATATCATCTTGGATGGTACCAGCCGAATCAGTTACAACAGGTCCTTCGTTATCGCTCATTTTTTTTTCTTCTTCAAATAATGTATTCAATTAATTAAATTTCTGTTTAAAAAAATAAATAAAACCAATAATCATCGATTAATATCAACACTTAATATGCACAAAAAAAACAAAACAAAAAATAATAATGAAACTAAAGAACTAAATATGTATCCTTTTTGTTTGAAAATTTTTCGAACATTATGCAAAAAAAAAATGAATCTAATAAAATAAAATCGAATTTCGAAATTCAATCAATGGATTTTTTGATGGCAATAAATGAAATGTTACGAATTGAGTTGCGACAATTATTTTATCCATATTAAGCAAAAAATCAAAATCAGATATGATCAATTTGAAGAAAATACATATCGAAAAAACAACCGGAATCGTATCATCTCACTTACCAGAAATCAGAAAAAGGCCAAATATTTTTTCAACGAATTAATTATCCGGTACAATAATTTTCCACCGAATTCACTATTGAAAAAAAATGGAAGAAATTAATCAAGAGAATTGCAAAAAATATGACAAAATTTGTATAGAGCACAGGTTAAAAAAAATAAACAGCGTGGCAGCCAAAAACACACACACACACATAGACATAGACACATATACACTAAAATACTATCATGCGATAAAACAAAATGACCATAGAAATTATGATTAAAATTCGAACACAACCCACGCCGCAATAGATAAGAATTTGATGGAACAAAATTAATTAATTAATTAATTAAAATTTTTTCAATAAGATAATTTCAAAAAGTAAACGAAAAACAAAATTTACAAACCTTTATTTTTTTGGTTTTCTACGAACACCAAACAAAACACACCTCGGAAAAAACCACCAAAAAACAAAACAACGACGCTCTAAACCACCACCAATCAACCAAACACCCCCCAAAAAAACACAATAATATTGTTAATTTACAGATAATAACGGATCGATTTGATGGATTGATTGATGAATTACGAATCAAACCGGCAAACAAAAATGAAACAAAAACAAAAATTAATTAATTAATGAAAATTAAAAAAAATCAGTTTCATTAAAATTTGAAAAACCGAACCGAATTGAATTAGGAAGAATGAGAATTTGAAATGGGGAAATGAAATCAAGTCAAAAAAAAATATTAGAAGAAAAATAAAAATACCACGTGTTATAATCAAGCCAAATAAGCTCAGTATATGAATGGTGGTGGTAATACAAAAAAAAAAAAAATAAAATGTTGGCGATGAATGTTTGTATGCGGCAGTAAGTATTAGCGGCGGCGGCGGCGTTAGCATCGTTTATCACCAACATAGAAGTAAAGAAGAGTATTGCATTCGAATTTTTTTTTTCTTTTTTTTTCGGTGTGCGTTTTCGAAAAGAAGGGGGACGAAGGAGGAGGAGCAGGAGGTAAAGTCGTCACAATTTTTTTCGTTTCGTTTCGTTCTATTTGCCGGTCTGTCCATCCATCCATCCATCCATTCTGTCCGGTTTAGTCATCCATTTTTTTTCCGATTGTAGTGGTTCATTTTTGTGTATGCGAATGTTAGCAGTGAGGTGGTAGGATGCTAGCAACAAATTTTTTTTTCGAGTAAACTATGAGCAAAGTCGGGAATTAATGTTCGATTTTTTTTCCTGTTTCACTCATCACACCCGATGACGATGATTTTTTTTTGTTGTTGTTTGAGGATGTGGATATTTCGTGATTCGAAATTGACTGACTTGTGGATGGACTTGTTTTTTTTTCGTTTTGATAAAGCCAGTTTGATACATGAAAAGTTTTATTTTTATTTTAATGTCAGATTATAATTTGTATTTCCTTTTATAATGCAATAGATTAAGAATTTTGTATTTTTTTGATGATGATAATCTTTTAAAAAAATTAATAATTTGATTTTCGTAATGTTAGTTGTTTGTTGTTGTTTATTGTTTTGGGGTAGCAAAAGATTCGAATCGAATTGTTGTTAAATTAATATAACTGGATGTTGGCAGCCATTTTTTTCACTCGATGATGTTTAATGATGATGAAAAAAGTTAGGCCGAAAAAAAGTAGCAGGAAACAAAAATGAAGTTTATTGATCTTTCAGAGTAGTGGATATATTATAAAAATAAAGATACCGCTCTCATAATCGTCGTCGTTGTCGTGGAAAAAAGTCGGCTTTCGATCATTTAAAACAAATTTAAAAAAAAAGAGAGAAAAAGACGTTCAGATTCAGGCGCGAGATTTAAAAATTTAACAAAACTTGAACAAAATCAAAAAATGATTACCTTGAAAACATCCATATTTATTGTGATAATAATCTTGAATTCAATCATCGATATTGAAACCTTATCCTGTTTGAATGAACAAGGTAAATCGGTTGATTATTTTATCCTGTATAAAATACCTAAATTAGAAAAATCAAATGATCCATTGATTAAAAGTGGATTACAATATGTTTATTATCTATCACCATCATCATCATCGACGACAACAACATGGACAATTGGACAACGATCATTAAATGATAGCCGATCAATATTAGGTGCAACATTAAAATCAATTTTAAATAATAAACATCCAAATTATAATCTAATATTTTATAATGATCAAAAACCATCAAGTATGTAAGATATATTGATGATGATGATAATGATAACTTTTTTTAATGTTTTTGTTTCTTCGTTATAATAGAACGAACAAGATCATCAAGTACAGGTGCACATGCAAAAGGTATTATTGCATTTTATGGAAAATCTGGATTCTGGTTATTACATTCGATACCATTATTTCCCGATTCAAATGAATCATTTGAATATCCAAAACGTTCATTGAATAATGGACAGGCATTTTTTTGTATTACATTATCGATTGATGATCAAATAACAATGGAAAATTTAGCCAAACATTTATCAATGATTAATCCGAATATTTATTCGATAAATTTAACGAAAACATTTCGTGAAAAATATCCAATGTATGATGAATTTTTATTGAAAAAGAAACGAAAATCAAAAAATCGTCCTATTGAATTAATACAAACAATATCATCGGCTAATCATAATTCGTTTACAATATTTTCTAAAGATCAAAAATTTCATCATGATATTTATGCCGATCTAATTGCTCAACATTATCGTGATGATTTTTATGCTCAAACATGGCGTAATGGTGCTGGTGAAATATTACATTCTGAATGTAAAAATGGTTTTAAAATTTTCAATATTCAATCAATCAAAATGTATGGAATTTTTTTTTAAATTTTTTTGATAATTTTTTTACCCTTTTTTAATTTTCCACAAAATATCAAAACGTAAAATTACAGTCGTGATTCAGTACAATGGCCATTTCGTGAAGATCATGCAAAATGGTCGATTTCGGTAGATCCAAAACGACAAACAATTGTTTGTTTAGGTGATTTGAATCGAATGAAATCACAATTTAGCCGTGGTGGTGGTGCAATTTGTATACAATCATCAAGCTTATGGAATTTATTCAAATCATCCATCTATGATATTGAAGGTTGTCCAGCAAATAAAGTTCGTTATCCAGCGCTAGATTGGTTATCAAGACAATGGCGAAAAATTGAAGATACTAAACAAAAATGTGAACTAAAATTAACGAAGAAAAAGAAAAAAAATTAATTTTATAAAACAAAAAACGAATCAAAAAAAAAATTTGAATTATTTTTTTTCGAATTCTATTTTAACACAAATAGTTCGCTAATGTTGCGAGTTTATTTTTACAATTTGGCGCTGTTTTTTCTTCAATTCGAGTAACGAAATAAATTCGTTATTGTTTTAAGCTGTCATTTTTTTTACATTATTTCATTCAATTGTTTTTCATTTCCATTTTTTGTTTCAATCATCATGTTTATCAAGAAACTAATATTAGATGGATTCAAATCATATGGTAAACGTGTTGAAATTACCGATTTTGATCCATCATTCAATGCTATTACCGGTTTTAATGGTAGTGGAAAATCAAATATTCTTGATGCAATTTGTTTTGTACTTGGTTTATCTAAATTAGAACTTGCTCGTTGTCATACATTAAATGATTTAATCTATAAAAATGGACATGCCGGTGTAACAAAAGCATCGGTTATTATGGAAATTGATAATTCGGATAATAAATTTTCACATAGTGATTATTCAAATTCTCCAGTGATTGTTGTTCGTCGTGAGGTATGTTTATTTTATTTACTATTGTAAACAAAAACATTCATTTTTGTTTTGTTTTTGATGAATCGATTTCTAGATTAATACAAAAAATCAATCCAAATATTATATCGATGGATTTTGTGTGACAAAAGAAAAATTAATGGATTTTTTTCAATTAGTATCGTTGAATATACAAAATCCACATTTTCTTATTATGCAAGGTAAAATTGTTAAAGTTGTATCGATGAAACCGACCGAGGTATGTTTGTATACGGATTGTATTGAATGATTTGATTCACACAATTGATTTTGTATTTTATCCCAAACAGATATTATCAATGATTGAAGAAGCAGTTGGTGTTAGTGTTTATGAACATAAAAAGAAACAAAATTTAGCTCGAATTGAAAAATGTGATAATTCATTAAATGAAATTAACTATTTGATCGATGAATCTATACGACCAAAATTGAATCGTGTTTGTGAAGAACAAAAAGCTCTTCGAGAATATTATACAATTAAAGCTGAATATGATAAAATGTATAAAATATCAATTGCATATCGATATTTAAAAGATAAACGTATTGTTGATTGTGCCGATTCCACTATTAAATCACATGTTGATTATATAGAAGCAAAAGTAGAGGAAAAAACACGATTAATTTCGGATTCCGAAGAATTGACCAAACAAATTCAAACATTACAAAAACGATTAGATGATAGTATGGGTGGTGATCTTCAAGATTTAGAATCAAATGTAAATAAAAAACAAGATATTCTACAGAAAATCAATACAAAACAAAAATTAAAACAAGATCAACTTAAAGAAGAAGAAAATGAATTGATTGTTGTACGAAAAAAATTGGATAAAGAAACAAAAACATTGAATAATAAACAGAAAGAATTTGATAAATTGAAATCGAAATTGGAACAATTGAAACAAGAACATGAAACAAATGAAAAATTATTTAATAAAGCACAAGAAGATTTAGAGGCTATCAATTTTGGTAAATCTAAAGGTGTTGAAGGTGAACAAGCTGCTACATTAACACATCAATTAATGGTGGCTAAAGAAACAATGGCCGAAATTGAATCAAAAATTCATAAATCAAAATTAGATATTGAACATACGACAAAAGAACTGTCATCGAAATCAAATAAACATCAAATAAAATCCGATAAAGATGTTTATGATCAAATAAAACATGATATTGAATTACGTAATAAAGAAATGGAACAATTAGAACAAGAATTGAATGAAATTAATTTCAGTGAAGAACATTATGAAGAAATTAAACAAGAAATTGTACGTTTAAAAAAAGATTCTTTATTATTGGAAGATAAGATTAATCAATCACGTCGAAAAGTACCACGTTCACAATTTAAATATCCAAATTCAACAAATATTGATTCAGAATCTATTTATGGTGTTGTATGTAATTTATTTACAATAAATCATCCAAAAGAACATGCACTGGCCATTGAAAAAGTATGTGGTAATCGTCTTTTCAATGTTATCGTATCGAATGATGAAGTTGGTACAGCATTGATCAAAAAAAATCTTAATGAAAGGCGAACATTTTTACCATTGAATAAAATTATCGGAAGAGATACTGATATGAAAGCATTAAGATTGGCTGAACAATTAGTTGGTAAAGGTAATGTTCATTATGCTATTAATTTGGTTTCATTTGATGGTGAATTGAAAAATGCAATGAAATATGTATTTGGTGATACAATGGTTTGTCCTAATATGAATATGGCTAAAAAAATTGCCTTTGCCAAAGGTATTATGAAACGTGTAGTAACATATGAAGGTGAAATTTTCGATCCAACCGGTACATTGACTGGTGGTGCAGAAAATAGAGATGAACCATCATTAGCTGTTGTTAATGAAATTAAATCGATTGAAGAGGAATTACATTTGCATAGAATCCGTCAACAACAAGCTGATCATGAATATCAACAACTTTTTCGTAATTCTAAACCATTTTATGATAAAAAATCCAAATTAGCTTTGAAACAGAAAGAAATTGAATTATTAAATCTACGATTACAAGAATCAAGTCATGGTGTTACATTGAATGAAATTGAAGAAATGCAAACACGAATAAATGATCAACAACAATTATTGAAAAAATTGGCTGATGAAAAAACGATAATTATGAATCGAATCAAAGAAATTGAATATAAAATTGAAAATTCTGAATCAACAAAAAAACATGAACTTAAAGAAGCAAAAGAATATCTGGAAGCAATGAAAAAACAATATGAAACAACGGGTAAAATGTTACAAAAAGATGAACAAACATTTGCCTGTATTGAACCAGAATTATTACATCATAGTGAAAATGTTGATAGTCTACAGAAACAGATGATAAAAATACAGAATAATATTGAACAGATTCAACAAGAAATCAATACTATACAGATTGATATTGATAATGGTCAAGAACAGATGAAATCAGCACAAGAATCTTATCAACAATATAAACAACAATTGAATGAAAAATCTAAAGAAATACAAAAATTACAGAAAAAATTGGATTCAATACGTAATCAGGTGGATGAAATTGGTCGTGAAATTAAAGTGAAAACATTTGAAATGGAAAAGATTAAAAATTCTGTTAATGATGCACAAGATCATTTACGATCAATGTTACATAAATATCAATGGATCAAAGATGAAGAAAAAGATTTTTGTTCCGAACAAAGTGAATATCGTATATTAACTATGGCAAATTTTAATGAAAATAAATTTTTTGAAGAATTAAAATTATTAAAATCAAAACAAGAAAAATCAGGAAAATCTGTTAATATGAAAGCAAATATAATGCATGGCCAAATACAGAAAGAATTTGAAGAACTTTTACATAAACGTGATGTAACAATAAAAGATCGAAAAAAGCTAATACAATATATGGAAAAAGTGGAAAAAGAAAAAGATAGAGAATTGAGAAAAGCTTGTCAAAAAATTAATGAAAATTTTGGTGCCATTTTTGGTACATTATTACCGAATGCAAATGCAAAATTAGCACCAGTTTCTGTACGAATCAAAGATGGTTTAGAGATTAAAGTTGCATTTGGTGATGTATGGAAAGAATCATTATCCGAATTAAGTGGTGGTCAACGATCATTAGTTGCATTATCATTAGTATTATCATTATTAAAATATTATCCAGCACCATTATATATTTTGGATGAAATTGATGCAGCACTTGATCAAAGTCATACACAAAATATTGGTTTAATGATTCGACGACATTTTAAAAATGCACAGGTAATTAATTTCTTTTTAATTTATCCATTTTTAATCTTTTTTTTTCTCTACTATTTTTTAGTTTATCATTGTATCATTAAAAGACGATATGTTTAACAATGCAAACGTATTGTTTCAAACAAAATTTATTGATGGTTTTTCAACTGTTGAACGAATTAAATTATAAATTAACGATATGAATCATCATCATCATCATAATAATCATCGTTATCATTATAACCATCATCGCCATCATCATCATCATCGACGTATTTGTTTGTTATTTTCTTCCATCTTTTTTTTTCTCACGAAAAAAAACTGCCAACATAAATTATATTCTTGACATTATAATTTTTTATAATAATAATAATAATAATAATGAATTACTGAAAAAAAAATAAATTGAAAAATGATCTATCGTTTTGAAATTTTCAGACAAAATGATTCAATTTTGCCTAGAAAAAATCCGCCCCTTAAATTTGGCTTTGAAAGGAAACAAAGTTCGTTCGCAAACATCCATTGAATCAATCATGGTAAATACATAATAATACTTATATTTCATTAATGGCCAGCAACACATACACACTTGTCAAGGTTAAATTTGAAAAAATAAAGGTCTATAATTATAACCGTGATGATGATGACCATTTCTTTTCTGTTTTTGATATGATATTTGTCATCAATGTTGTACCGGTTGAACAGTGATTATTATCATCATCAACATCAAGAAAGAACAACAGCAACAAAAAAGGAAAAAAATGTAGAAAAAGGAAATTTTGTCAACGTTATTCATATGTGATTTTTTTTTATCGCGATAAAAATCGATCATTCCAGACAATTTTTTTTTCATTATATAAAAATTTACGTTTTTTATTTTGAATGGATATAAAAAAAACTGTTAGATGATTGATTAAATTGGAGAATTTTTGATTATCTTCTTACCTAAGTGATGCTTTTTTTTTGTTGTTGTTGCCATCATTTCGTTGTGATTACAGACGAAAAATGATCATCGTATGATTTATTTCTACCATGGTAACATCAGTCGATATCATTATCATTCAATATTTTATATCCCATTCATTTTGATTTTGAATCAATCAATATTTATGATTACTTTATAATTTTAATTAGGATTTTTTTATTTTTACGTACAAACATTTTACGGTACGTACATATAAAATGATTGTACGTTTTTGTTAGGACATCCTGATGATGATGATAATGTTACCAGCTACAAGATGATGATGACAATCATTTGATTTTTTTTCGTTTGTTTCGTTTAATTGAAACGATAATTTAAAATTCCAGTTTCTCTTTTCCCCGACGTCTTTTAATACGCATTGCCAGTGTCCATCAAGTTTTGTTGTTTCATCCTTTTTTTTCACTGTTTTTCTTCTTCGTCTTTTGTTGTGATGATAATCAACAAAGCTGTTTGCAATGGCTATAGTTATAATGATTAAATAAAAATTTCTATTTCTATTTCCATGGAATCAAAAGCTAAAAATAAAAAATTGATGACAGCCAACCTGTCAGCTAAATTTCTATGACCATTTTTTTGTTGTTGTTGTTTTGTTATTGTTGTTGTATCCATCATTCTTACCCGAAAGAAATTCGAATGTAAAAAAAAAATTCTATAATCAAATTCTACATCTACGGTTTTCCTGTGGTTTAAATAGATTCTGTGTGTGTGTGTGTGTTTTGTGTTCAAAGTGATATCAACAAAGAAGAAATAAGAACCAAAACGAATAATAAAAAAATCAATTCTGCTCATTCAAAACTGTGATATTTACATCTGAAATCAATGCGCTATATAATATATTTTAACTAATTCTTTAGTTTATTAATAAGATAATTTTTTTTTTACTATACACAAACACACACACTAAAATATGTTTAATATTATTCTATTTATATTGTCAACATGTTTCATAATTCCATTCATTGCCTGGATAATACGACAACAACGAAAATCATCATCATCAAATAATGATGATCTTAATCATTATGATAATAAAATTATGTCATCAGTATTAAATGAAACAATGTGTCCAGCAACAAAAATAATTGATCGACGTTTATCATCTACATTGGTCAAAACAATAACCATTAAAACTTGTGTTGGTATTTATAATGATCAAATGAAACAATGGCGTCCAGATTTTTATCGTTATGCAACTAACGATGGTTTAGAATTGACCATTAATTATGTTGATACATTAATTGTTAATAATGATGATGATGATAATGATCATTTTGAAAAAACAATTGTTGCCATTCATGGTGTTCCCGGTTATTATACACATTTTGATAAATTAGTTGAATATTATCGTAATACAAATGTTCGTGTCATTGTACCGAATTTACCGGATTTTAGCCATACAAGACAAACACGAACATTTTGGCATACAAGTATTGAAAAGTCAACATTTCTTAAAGATTTTCTGAACAAATTAAATGTAAAAACAATAGATTGTTTAATTTGTCATTCGTTTGGTGCTCAAACAGCGGCTGCAATTTGTGAAAATGTAAGATAAACAAAAATAAACTCTGTGATGATAGAATAATTTTTTTTACTAATAAATTCTAACAATTTTAGCCTGGTAATATCGAAATTAAATCGGTTGCATTTCTATCACCACAACCACTTTGGGATCCGGTTCGTAATAATGAAATGCTTAAAGCATTTAAACATAAATCCGAATGGTGGTATAATTTTCTATCAATAATGCGTGTACACAAAAAAGCTTATACCAAATTACGTTTTACCAATATCAATGAATTTCTTTTACTTTGTACAATCGGTATCGAAGATGATACACCAACCAAATTTACAAATCGTTTAGAACAAATAATTAAAATGAACATTCCGGTTGTTATTATTTATGGTGAAAAAGAACGTCTTATCTCTAAAACAGCCATACAACGTTTAAATGAACATTTTAATATTGAATCAGATGATATTATAATGATCGATTCGGATGATTCAACATATCAAGATCATTTAAAATTGACCAAAAAATATAGCTCATTTGTGATTAAAAATGGTGGCCATTTTACTCATTGTAATCATCATCAAGTGGCCAATAAAATTATTGATAATTTATTAAAAATTTAATTAAAAATTTAATTGGTTAATTTATAATTTTCACATTATTATCGTTATTTTTATCAAAAACATTTTTCCACCAGTGGCATCAAATCCTGTTAGGCAAATTTCAAAATAAGAATTATTATTATTATTATAATTGAAAATATAATTTATGTTGAAACAAATTGTTAGCATTATGTGAATTAAAAAAAAAATTCTTTCATTAAAGTAAAGTAAAGTTACAAAAAATTTGATCGTTTTGAGTTCCATTGGCCGTGGCCACTATTGGAATATATTGATAGTTTCAAAATCGATTGTATCGTGATAGTCTGATGATATTCTTTGGCAAATCGATTTCCTCGCCATGCATGCATGAAAAGCACATGATTTTTTTTCCTCATTGCATGATTTGTGTGCAGCCTGACGACAACATGCATTTTGTATTTTGATTTCATTTCATTTTTCGAAAAATGATGATAAAACTTTAACCCGTTGGGTGAAAAAAGAAGGTAAGCATCTTCTAAAATATAGAATTCGAATTTTGTTATCCCTTTTCAACGCCGCGTGTCAATTCGTATTTTTCAAAAAAAATTGATGCGTGTTTTTTACAAAATTTCAAAAGGGAAAAGTATTCAATCTTTATAAAACATTGATATTTAAATATTTAAAATTGAATATCAATACCTGTATTCTGATACATTTTTCTTTTTTTTTACATAGATATGCATCAGTTCAAGGAACTAAAATTCGTGGAAAATCCGACCATTTATTAAAATGGTAAATGTTTAAAATGACCCTGGAAAGTCGAAAAAAATGGCATGGTCGCTGGTGGTTATAATCAAATTTTTGGGTTTGATTATTTCGAAATCAATTCACCAACATCAAATCCAGCATCATTTCGTATTATTCTTGGTTTGATTAAGATTCGTAAAATGTCTTCAATAAGCAATTGGATATAAAAACTGCATTTTTAAATGGTTTTCCTGTTTTTTTTTGTTCGTTTTTATTTTGCATCATTTCATAATCACAATTTATTCGATAAATAAAATTGTTAATTTCTTTTGAAAAAAAATCCCTGGTGGTGAAAGTGGAAAGGTAGGTCATGATAATGATGATGGATACTATTCGTGATACATTCAACATGTGTGTGTGTGTGTGTACGGTGCTGGGGTAAGCATAAAGCATGGTGAGCTTACGACAATGACAATAAACAGAATAGCCATTTTGGCTTCAAGGCTTTTTTCGTTCGTTCGTTGGTTAGTTCGCTTGTTCGTTGTTTGTTTGATGATGGCCATTCACATTCATCTACTTTTTTTTCCATCCGTTTAGGTGTGTGTATCTTTGTTGGGTGCATATGAATGGTAACATCTGGCCTTTTTGTTGTTGTTGTTATTTTGTTATTATTTTTTTTGGTGGATGAAGGTCAATCAAAGACCGCAAACACACACAAACAAACAAACAATGGTCCTTGTTTTTGTTTACGGGTTTTAGTTTGGTTCAACAACAAAAAAAACGACAAACTGTAAACCTCAATTTTATCAATTTTACTTTTTTTTCCTATCATCATCGATTAAAATGGATAAATTATTTTTAAAATTTTTAATTATTTGGTTATCATTTTATAATGTTGGCCATCATTGTCGTCTTTATGAATGGATGCATCAGATTGTATTAGATTCGAATAATAAATATCATTTAAAATGGTTATTCAATATGAAACAAGAGCTTATTGTTTTTAATGTTTGTATACAAACACATGGTTGGTTTGGTTTAGGTATTAGCCATAATGGTCATATGACCGGTAGTGATATTGTTATTGGTTGGGTTGATCAATCAGGTCGTGTACATTTACAGGATCGATTTGCTGAAGATGAAGAAATGCCGGTTATTGATGATAAACAAGATTGGTTATTAGAATCTGGTTATGAAAATGATACACATACTTGTATTACATTTAGTCGTCCATTTTTAACATGTGATTATGATGGCGATTTACCTATTACGAATGATGTAACAAAATTAATATGGGCATATAATGATGATGATCCAATTGGTTATTCAGCAGTATTATCCAAACATTCACATTATCAACGTGGTCATAAAAGTGTTCATCTATTAAATTATAAATTTGATGATAATCATTTTGAACATTCAATGAAAATGAATTCAAATGATAAATATTCAACAAAAATTAAATCATGGGATATAACATCGAAAAATTTTACCATTTCACATGAATCGGATACAACATATTGGTGTAAAATTGTTAGTCCATCATTTCGTTCGAAAGCTCATGTTATAAGGGTAAGTAATATTTTTTTAAATATTTTCTTTTCAAATTATTATTTTCTCTTTTTTGATTATCATACAGATTGAACCAATCATATCACCGCAACAGAATGCACCATTTGTTCATCATATGGTTTTATATCGATGTTTGCATCCAAATCCCGAATTAATGCGAGAATATCTTGATCAGCCGGGTATTAATTGTCTTGATTTTGCCAATATGCCATTCGATTTTTTTCATTGTCAATCAATCTATATGGTTTGGACGACCGGTGGTGAAGCATTTAATCTACCCGATAATGTTGGCATACCAATATTTGAAGATCATGAAACAACATATTTTATGTTTGAAATTCATTATGATAATCCAGAATTAAAAGCCAATATACAGGATTCTTCAGGTCTTCGATTGTATTATACGGAAAAATTACGTAAATTTGATGCCGATACAGCTACAATGGGTTCAGTTGTTGATTATCGTTTGATCATACCAAATGGATTTGAAAATTTCACTGTTTCTGGTCATTGTTCACCAGAATGTTTTCGACAAAAAATACCTGTAACCGGATTGAATGTTCTTGCAGCCTTACCACATGGACATAAACATTGTATGTTTCAAACATTTTCATTATGAAAAAATTTCTCATTTTTTTAAAATCCCTATAGTAAAACGAATTGTAGTAAGACATTTTCGTGGCCACGACGAATTACCACCATTAGCTGAAGAGAACAATTATGATTTTAATTTTCAAGATTTTCGTCGTTTCAATGAACGACGAATCATTTTACCCGGTGATCAGATTACAGTTGAATGTACATACAATACCGAATCATTGAAAAGGCCAATTCTGGTATGGCGTGTGTTATCTTTGTGCAAATTTCTTCATTTTTTTTAATTTTTATTTACAGGGAGGATTATCAACACAGGAAGAAATGTGCATGGTATTTCTTGTTTATTATCCACGTATGAAAGGCGTACGAACATGTCTTAGTGGACTAACACCGGAAACTGTCATGAAATTATCTAATATTGATCAAGTTCAAAAGTATGTTTTTGCTCTGTTGTTTTCTTCATTTTATTTATTTATGTGTCATTCATTCATTGTATATATTTAGATTGGATGAAAATGATATGAATCCGGTCATCATACAACCATTGGAACATGCTAATCAAACATTATCAACATATGTATTGACAAAAGAAGATTGGCATATACCAAAACAAACGTTGTTTGATATTGGAAATCTAACCAATTTAATACGTTATGCACCACAAAAAGCACAATGTTTTTGGCGTAAAATTGAAGGCATTGATGGTCTTGAAGGAATGGATGAAATAAATGAATTGATTACATATCCAAAATTATATCGTCCATATGAAAAACCAAAAACAAAATGTCATCCGGTTATCAATAGTCATATAATACCACCAAGATTTATTTCATCATCATCATCATTATCATTGTCGAGTTTATTTAAATATCTAATTTTTATTCTCATCATCATCATCATCAACATATTCTGACCTATTTTGCATTCAACTTTTTTTTTTACTTTAAAAAAGCATGAACAGAATAAAATTTCCTTATATTCATTTCATTTTTCATTCGTTTGTTTCCATTAAATTTGTTTTCGTTTGTTTCTCCATTTTGTTCGGACAAAAAAAATAAACAAAGAATTGGGAGGAGAAAAGAAAACTTTGGTGTCGAGGTGTGGTTGTGATCATTACCATCATCATTTTGATGATGATGATGGTGGTTTATATATAGAAAAAAATTATTCATACTTGTTTTTGCTCGCGATTCGTTCAAACGCAAACACTCAATATATTCCAATGTTTTTTTTTGATCGTTGAATAAATCGCAAAGAATTCGAATGTTTTTTTTTCATCTTTTCAATTATGTCGAATGTAAGACAGAAAAAGAAAAATCAGGTAAGAAAACAATAAAGTTGTCATGTTTGATTTGATGATGAAAATCGAGGAAAATTTTCTTTTAATTAATAAGCCAAAATATCAAAAACCAACACAGCCAATATATCGGCCACCATCAGCACGTATTGAATCATCAATGTCTGGTCCAAATCTTTCATCATCATCATCAGCATCATTTATACCAACAAGTTTACAAGTTGGCGGTAATCATCCAAGCGATATTTTTCTCATTAAACAACCAAGCACAAGTTTTGGTAATGTTATTTCAAGTAAGAATATTATGGATTTTGTTTGTATAAATTAATGATGACAAAAAAAACATTCATGAACATATTGTGTAGATGTATTTCCAATACGTGGTGTTTTAAAACGATCAAAATCATTCGGGAACAACAATAACAACAACAATCGATCTAAAGATAATCCTGAAACAATAAACAAAACAAAATATCATTTTCTTAATGCATCAATGGCCGATGCATTTTTCCTGACAATCGAAAGTATTTCGAAAGAAAATTTAAACATTATAAAACGTACATTAAATCGTCAAACATGTACATCGGTTACAATGACACAATTATTACAAATAATTCGTGTACTTTGTAATAAAGTATTGGATAAATCAAATAATGCAAATATTGTTGCAAAAGTTTGTTTAGAAATACATTATAATCAACAGATGAATATGATACATTTAAGTGATCATAAATATCTATTTCTAGAATCATTAGCAAATTGTTTACGTGAATGGTTTAATGAACGTGATAAATTACGTTTTACAACTGGTGGTGCACGTCGATGGACAAATTATATTACATTTTTGAAGGAAATTTATCTTAATTTGAAAGAAACTATTGTAAAAGATTATGAAACAAATAAATTTTATTTTAGTGATTCGAATGATGATGATTATGATGATGATGAAGATGATGATGATGAAGATGTTAATGATCAAATCAGTTATGATGAAAATGTTGTCGATCATGTCGATGATAATGATAATGGTAATGCTGATGATAATGACGATGCTGATGATGATGATTTTGATGATTTTAGTAATAGCCAATCAATTAATAATAATAATAATAATAATAATAATAATAATGAAACATCATCGGCAAATGATTCAAGTCAAGCTGATTCAAGTTCCTGTAAAAGTGGTTCAAGTGAACGTTCAATGAAAAAAACATCAAGTACAAATAGTATTGAAATAAAAATAATGAATTCATTATTATGTAAACAACAAAAACAATTTGCAAATTTATTATTAGATTCATTTCAGGTAATATTATCGAATCCAAATTCAACACCGGCCGAAATTGAATGTATGCAATGTGTTTTTCGTCAATGTGGTAAGCTTATCTACATTGAAAAAAAATTAATCCATAATTATTATCAATCATAATCATTACCTTTGTTTAAATAGGAAAATATCTGGATGAAGATAATCCATCCCGGATAAAAACAATAATATTTTTAATTCGTGATATTCTTCTAAATTGTTCGAATTTAAATCAATTTATTAATTCACAAAATAATACAAGTTTAAATTCATCGATCAATAAAAATTTATTAGAAATTATTGAACTTTATTCAAGTGGATGGCAATTTGATCAATCACAACAGATTTATTATTTTCCATATACAAAAATTGATTAACCATCGGATAACCGATAAAAACATCGATAAACGTGAAAGGAAATTTTCATAAATTGGACTTTTTTTACAGGGGAAAAAATTGGCCAATTTTTTCCCAACAAAAAAAACCAAACTAATTCTCCATAATCCTCCAACGTTTTTTCCAAGGAAAAAAACAACAACAACACTAAATGACAATCCGATAATAACCGAAACAACAACAACAAACTTTACGACAAATCAATTTGCTTTAAAAATGAACAACCAAAAAAAAAACTTTTTTTTCAAAACTTAAATTTTAAATCAAAAACATTTTCTATTTTCTTGTTTATCTTTATCCTTCGTTGATTATTATCATCATCATCATCATCATTTAGAAAAATTTCAATGTTTTACACACAAACAAGGATAACAATATTCATGATAAACAAAAAAAAAATCTATAAAAATGCGAAATAAAAAAAACCATTTGAACAGCCAAAGAATCCTAAAGTGAATATAGAAATTCCGGATTTACTCAATAAAAGGTTCATTAAGTTTTTTTTTTGTTTTGGATTTGGTGGGATATTTGGAACCAAATTCTTTTTGTTTTGTTTTCAATTCTCATTTGAAAATGTTATGTTAAAGTTGTATTTTATATCTTTGACTAAATTGAAACTTTGAAACTTTTTTTTGGTTAAATGAAACTTTTTGGCAATCAGATTACGGAACAAATATGGACTACGAGATTCAATGATGAACTCAAAGAAAAGAAGCAAAAAGAAATGAAAATCTAATAACAGAATTCAATATGACGACAAATCATTCAAAAATAGTATAGCCCACCATTTACACACCACATAGATAAACATTGACATTAGAATTATTGTTTCAAATAAATTTTTGAAATCAAAAAAAAAACTGAAAAGAATTGACTTTATTACCAAAAACAAAAATCATCGTGATGATATTGATCCTTGTTAGGCGTGGAAAACTTTTTTTTTGTGTTTGAAAAAGTAAAAAAAAAATGAAAATGAAAATTTAATATCACAAACGGCCAAACATCTACATACAATGTATATATCCGGAATTTTGATTTGTCATCCATTTGAGAGATTTGATCGATTTTTGAATTGAAATTTTTATTTTTATTTCATTTTTTTTTTTTGCTGCTCATTTCTGTATTCTGTAAGCTGGGTCTCCAACCAAATCGATAAATGTTTGTGTGTGTGCGTTTAATGTTTGGGCCGAACACGAATGAAAAAAAGGGTTGAATTTTTTTTATTGTTTCAAGACCGAAATGAAATGAACGAAAAAAACGCCAACGCCAATTTCGATGATAACAGTGTTACAGAGAAATCCGATTCTATTCTGACAAGCAGGTTATATGCATTGATTTTTTTTTGGTTTCTTTTTTGGTTTTTTTGATTTCTACAATTCACCACACATTCCGAAATCGATTTTTCTTCTGCCGTTAACGCCAAACACTTTCTTTCTTTTTTGGTTTTGGTTTTTCAAGTTTGTTACAATTTTTTTTCTTTTTTTTTGGTCATTTCGGTGGTCGGCCATCACTATATGATCATTTTGGTTGCGAATTAATGGGAAAACTTGGAAAGATAGCCGGCAAAAAGCCCAAAAAATTTTCAATTAAATTACATACAGAGACGGGCAAAGATGGGAAAAAGAGTTTTTTGCTACTCACTCCTAGCTAACAAAAATTGAATCAAAATAATTTTTATCATTACGAAATACAAAAGAATTTTTTTTAGGAAGAAGAAATAATTGTCACATCCATTCATTATAACCAAGGACATTTTCATTATAATGAAAACAAAAAAAACAAAAATGATAATTTTCTTTAATCAAGTTTATTTAATTTCGAATGTTTTTGTTGGATCGTCCAAATATATGTCGAAACATTTGATTTAGAACAAAAAAAAAGCTGATTCCAACGATTCTGGAAACCTGAAAAACGTTAAACCTAAAATAAAACAAACGAAACACACCATACACCATGCTCTCCATATACAAACTGTGTAATGATCGATTGATGTTGACGATTCGGATCAAAAAGTAAACAGAGAAACAAAAAATGAAACACTGGAAATGTCCAGCAAAAAAGAAAGAAAGAAAAACCTTAGAAACTAACAAAAAACCAAACAAAATAATAACCATAATAATGAAAATAGTTAGTTTTTTCTGTTTTTGATCAGTCCTGAAATTAGATTCTGAAAACGAAAATCTGACACGTTGTTGATTACTTTACATGATATTTTTTCTCATTTTTTTCTTTGGTTGACGAAGACTAATGAGCTTAAACGAGGCCACAATGATGATGTGCAAAAACAAAACGAAGAATGTGTGTGTGTGTGTGTGGTGTGTTAAGAATTTGTGGAAACAATGATTCTGTAATAATCATCATCATCATTGGTGAAAACAATTGAAATACGATCCGTTAACCATTGAATCAATCACGGTTATTCAAAGATGAAACGAAGAATGAAAAAAATGAAAAATTTTTGAAACGATTTTGAAAAAAATTGATTTTTTTTTGTTTTGCAACACATGTTTTCTTCCAGGAAATTTCTTAGTTTTTTTATTATTATTATTTCGACAAAGATACATATGTGGTGTGTGTGTGTGTGAGGATGTGATCATCATACTAATCAATTATTGTTATCAAACACACACACACACACACACTAAAACAATCTGATCAATCTTTTAGATCGAGGCAACGCACACTGATAAAAAAAACGGATAATAATATTGATGATCAAATCAATTATTTGTTGATGATAATAATTATAATTCAATGATCGTCCTAAACAATATGGCCATTAATATTAATCCAATGATGATAATGGTGATGGTGATGATGATAATGACTATAATAATTATTGAATTTGGTGATCGATTCATAAAATAACCAGGATTCGTATCGATTATTTTAGTTTTGTTCATTGTAAATTTTTTATTCGGTTGTTGTTGTTGTACATTGATGATTTTTTTATTAATTTCATTTCCCGTTCTGTTGGCCATCAATATTGATGATAAATTTGTTCGAATATTTGAATCTGATTCGACATTCATCATCATTATCGTTGTTGTATGATCTAGTTTCGATTCAGAATCATCTATATGATTATATCGGATAAAATATTAGAGGGATGGTATAGGGAAAATGAAAATAAAAAATTCTGTCAATTTCTCCGTACAAATCGTCGATCAACGATAAATGAATGATCGACGATTTGTACGGAGAAAAGCAATGAAAAAAAAGACTGAACAAATATGGATTATTATCGATATAAAAGAAGGAAATAACAAATAAATACAAAAATTTCCAGTTGATTTACTTCGATTTGAATTTTTCAAAAAAAAAGAAAAAAAATGAAAAGATGTTCAAAACCAAAAAAAAAGTTAACTTGTTTTATACTAATGAATATCGATATCATCATCAACAATGAATAAACAAAACATGAAAATTTATTCTCGCACACACATTACCGAACCAAAACAACTTTAACAACAACAAAGTATCGAATGACAATTATGGAAAATTTATTATTGTTATCTATTTATATGAAAGTTAAAAGTTGAATGAATGTAGCAAAAAACAAAAACAAACATTAGATCTTATCATCATGAGAAAAAGAATCTCAAACATAAATCCCTAATACCTGTTTTCATTCAAACAAAAAAAAACCACATTATTATTATTATCTATGAATCGATGGATCGTTGATGGAAAATAATGAAAAAAACTGAAAATAAAGAAGAAGAAGAAAAAAATTATCGTCATGAATTATAAACAGAAAAGATAATAAGAATCAAAAACAAAAAAAAAACAAACCCGAAAAAAATCCTCCACCGTTACGACGATCCAATTTCTTATTTTTTATTTATTTCTTTTCTATTTATGTTCATGTCGTTTGTTTTTGTGGACAACTTTTTCCCCTGCTTATGATGTTGTTGTTTATGTTTAAAAATAGCCATATCGAACAAAAAAAAAAGAAACTAAAAACAATGGCAAGTTGACTAAATTCAAAGCTCATAAATTATACTATTAATTATCTTTGGATCACAACACCCCCGCTATCATCATCATCACTAAAAGAAAAATAAGTCGGAACAGAAGCAGGAAAACATTTTCATTCTCTCTGTGTTGTCTGATATAAAATGAATATCGTATGGCTTATAGACTTTATTCAAACAAAAACTTTGTTCGATGATGATGATGATGATGTCCTGATTATTATCATTATTTGATCATGTTGTTCATAAAACAATATGATAAAGTATCATTAAAATTTGAAAATGTTATCCTAAATTATCATCATTATCATCAGCATCATGAATTTAGTAATCAGTTTTGGATATTTATTCATTATTGATGATGAACAATTCATTATTAACTGGTAAAAAATTTATCAACCGAAAATGTAGAGAAGCTTTGAAATTACACACAAATTATATCGATTTTGATATCAAAAGAATTTTGTTTTTTTTCCGATTTCAATAATAACAACAACAACAACAAAAGAATCAAATGATGAATATAAATTGATAATTAATACATACTGAGAGCAATCAGCCTGAATGAATGTTCATAGATTATTTCATGTCCATCATCATCATCATCATCATCAACAGAAAAATTTCCCGTATTATTCTTCGAATCGATATTATTCAATTTTTTTCGATAAAATAACATATGATAAATGCCTTGATGATCGATAGTAAAATTTGTTATATTTATCCATGCTTCATAATGATTTGTAATTGATTTTTGTTTTTCGCTTGATTGATTATTGTGATTGTTCAGGAAAGAATAGGAATTGAAATCATCAATGGTAGAATTATTGATTTGTTCATTATTAGTTGTTATATGTGTGGTTTTTGTTACATTTTCAACAACAAATTTCGAATGTTGTCCGTCTATATTTTGTCATGAAAACCAAAGAAAGAAATTAATGATAATGGAAAAAACAAGCAAAAAAAATAAATCATCACCTTGATTATTAGAAAGTTGTTCAATTCGTTCTGGCCATTTCAAAATGATTCTTATTGAATGACAATGTACCGGAAGATTCATTGATGATTGATTTTGATTTAAATTCAATGAACCATTTGAATCATTCAATGATTTCATCATCATCATTCTATTGAACATTATCAACGATTGTTGCTGTTGTTGTCGTCGTCGTTGATGATGATAAAATTGATTACATTGTTCCAAATGATCAACAATCATTGTACATTTATATTGAATTTGATCACCAATCGACATTGGTATCGTTGTTAGTTGTTCGAAATTACTATTTTCACTATTTTTTGTTGTCAATGTTAAAATAGTTGATGTTGATGAAATTTTTTTACTTTTATCAACATCATCATTATTATCATTATTCAAATAATGAATTTTTTGCCATAAATGATGATAATTATCAACAACAGAAATTGTTGTTCGATATTGACAATTAAATGTAAAATAATTATTATTTTGATAATGATGATGATCTGAACGTTGATTAACCAAAAAATTTTCCATCATTCGTTTTGATTCTGTTGTTGTTGTTGTTGTTGATGATGTTTTCAATGTTTTATCTTTTGGTTTTTTATCATTAATTCGTTGTTGTTGTTTCATCATCAAGATTCTTTTCATCATAATACTATTATTATTTATAACTTTGTCATTATCATTAATTTCATTATAATCATTCGATGATGATGATGATATTTTTTCATGGAATTTATCCAAATTTGTCGTTGAATTCGAATGATAATCATCATCGATTGCCATTATTTGAATGAAAATTATTGAAATTAATAATATGAATATTATTATTATTCGATGATGATTCATTTTTTTTTTGTTTTGCTTTTTCCTAATTAGATCGAATTCTCTGGAAAAATGAAATTAACACAAAGCCAAGATTGAAACAACGATTATTGATGCTGATGGTGTTTATGTATCTGTGTTCCCGAATAGATAATGTAATCGAATGAAAATCAGATCAATGTAATCGAATCGAAGAACAAAATGCGGAACCCAAATAACATCAATAATGAATTATCGAATCAAACAGGTATTTTCAACAAAAAAAATGCGAATAAAACAACCAATTAATTTGGAGAAAAAAAACACACCGGAAATTTGATGCGACAAAAACAACAACAACAAATTTGGCAAACCCGACAAAATTTCAATCAATTAAAACTTGTTTTTTTATTGATCGATTGGGTGGTTTCACGTTTTTACATGTATGGTTTACCTGTGTGTGTGTAAAATCAAATCAAACAAAACCTCAACAAATCTCAATGTCATCGATCCGTCGTGATTTTCATATGTGTGGTATTTTTGATCATCATCATCATCATCGATCAATAACGGAAGACAAACTTTTTTTTAACCCCTTTTTTTACCATCCATATGGCGGAAAATCTAACCCAAAAAATTAATGAAATTTTCCCAGAAAATTTTAAATTTTTTTTTCGCTTATTAAACTCTGAGAAAATGTATTACAATGAACCAAAACGAAGCAAAAAAAAATCTAATCAAAAAGTTTTGTTTTTCGTTGTTGGTCTTTTTTTCTCCAGAAAACCTTAATAACAAAATCCTTTATTTTTTTGTTGTTATTCATTATATAATCTTGAATGGATCTCGTCTATAGAGTTTTTGGTTTGTTTGTTTGTTTTTTTTCAATTTCCGTTTTAACCGTTTCTCATTTTTGCTTGCTCAACATACAAATAGTGAAAAAAAAGAAAGAAAAAAGGAAATTCTTTCTACAAAATCACACAATACATTCATGTATAATTGACTTGATTCGTTTCGTTTTGTTCGGTTATTTCGTTCACATTTCTGGATCAATAATCGATCAACGTATGGTGGTAAAACCATAATACAACACACACACACACACACGTAATGTATAGAAATTCGTGATATACACGTTATTCATTAATTCATTCATTCATTCTTTCAATCAATTCTTTGTTTTTTTTCCAATCTTAAAAAGAAAAAAAAAATAGTTTACATTTAATAAATAATGATGATTTCTATTCGGTTGTTTTTGTTTTCATTGTTTCTGGCTTTTGTTTTTGGTTTTGCGAACCCCTTGCCTTGTTGAAACAAAAAAGGGAAAAAGGAAAAATCCATTTGTTTCCCCCGAATAAAAATATTCGACGGTTATTCTTTTTTCTCCGGTTATATTCGAAATTAGCAATATTAGTTACTGAGTGAGTTTAGTGGAAAAAAAGTGAGAAAAGTTGTTGTTGTTGTTGTTTTATTCGCGGGTTTCAAAAAATAAATATAGTTGGGTAGATTGAGGGAGTGAGTAAGAGAGAGAGTGGATATTTTACTCTATAAATCATTTGTTTTACATGATTTGGGCTGAATATTTAATCCAATATAGAAGTATACATGAATGGATCGAACGAAAATGATGCTTGGATCGAGAACATTCCCAACATGAATGATACATAATTATAAATGAAAAGTTTTATTTTAATTTTCGCTCATTATTCTGTGTATGTGTGTGTTTCCAGATTTTCAATCCGGGCTCGTTTAAATTAAAAAATGTCCAAATTGTGCATAATTTCCAAACTAGATGGTGACACTTGACAAAAACATTTTTAAAAAAAATCTTGATACATTTTTCAATTTTTCGGTAAATTATTCATTTCAACATTCAAAATGGTGATATTCGAATGGATTATATCCACAACAGCAAAACCAAAATATAAAATCCAAAACCAAAAACAAACAAATCAAAAAAATGTAAAACAATTTAAGTGAAACAAGATTTTCTTACAACAAAAAAGAAAGTAAATGAAAACTTTGTCAAAGAATTTTTTGTCAAAATAATTGCCATCAATAATGCAAAATGATTGATAAAATTGATGAAAAACTACTAACATTTTATTGAATATTGTTTCCGTTCATCAATATTGTGTTTGATGATTGTTTTTCTCTTTGCTACATACACACAATACCAACATACAACAGAAACAAAAAAATAATGAATCCCAAATGGATCGATTGATCGATTTCAATAATACATTGGCTTTTGCAAAATAAATATATGGATTTTTTTTATGGATTTTTTTTCGAAAATGTAAATATCACAGGCAAAAGGCAAGGCAGAAAAAATTTCTTACTTGAAGAAAAAACTGATTTTTCAATGGTAAATATTTACTTGTATACATTTTAAAAAAACCGTTGGTGATGAATTTTTCATCTGTTTTCCTCACTTTCTTTTCTTTTGCATCGATTTAATCGAAAATCATTTGATCGTTTTCGATTCTTGATTCTCGTCATCATCATCATCATTTTATCATTTGAATAAAATTTTCTCGCTACGTTTTTTTTATTCATATGTTTCGTTTTGTTTGATTTCTTTGACTTATCATAGATTTGAAAATGGTTGAATTTTTAAAAAGTTTCAAATTGGCGATCCATGACAATGATGATGATATCGAATGTCGAATATTTTCGATTATTATAAAGTGGTGGACGATAGTGAGTGGATTTTTTTTTTCTTAGGAAGATTTGTTTCTTCTTTGAAGTTATCGATGATGATGATGATAATGTTTGCTGAGCGAATCAAAAATTTTCGCTTTTTTTTTTGAATTTTAAGCGGAAAAAATATGATACCTTGATAGGATAACAAGGAAAGATTCTATGTAGATGATGACATATAGTTTTGGTTTTTGTACAAATATTTTCTATTTCGGTAAACTTGAGTGCATTTAATGTCAATAAAAAAAATTATCGTTTCGATAAACAAGATTTGAATATCGAAAATTTTTTATCAAGATGTTATTATTGTTGTTGAAGAATTTGAAAAATCTTTTGAAGATATTTTTTTGTAAATTTATCATCATTGTTTACAATCAATCGAATGATGATGATGAAGAAAACTAATTTCTAACGATAATGATCATAACGATGTGAGTAGATAAAGAGAAAAATGAATAATTTATGTCATCATCATCATTACCAACAAAGCAAAAATTTCCAATGAAAAACAAAAATGAATTAACCAGAAATAGACAGAAATGGACAGAAATAGACAGTGAAAAAAACAATGATTTTTTTGCCAAATGGCCAATAGATACGGAGTAAAAGATGAAGAAACTAAGAAAAGCAAACTTTTATTTATTGATTACCGAATCAATAAAAAATATAGATGAAAAGAAATGTATTTCATAAACCTAATTATATTCTGGTCATTATTTCTTCTTTATCATAATCTTTTCTTCTATGCTTTTGGTTTGTTTTGTTTTTTGTTTTTTTGCTTAATGATTCTTTCATTGATGATCGATTGATTATACAAAGGATCAATGGATGATGATGAAGAAGAAATGGAATTGATAAACACACAAAGAGAGACAGACCCGAGAGAAGTGTTTGGGCCAATTAGTGGATCAATGTGAATAATGAAATGATAATTAGAGAAAACCAAAAATGGGAGAGAATGAGAGTGAGTGAGAGAAAACTGAAACTTTCTTCAAGTTTTTTTTTTGTTTGTTTCATCAACCAATCGAATCATTGAGTTTTTTTTTGTTTGTTTTTGTTTGAACATTTTTCGTGTGAAAAAAGAAAACATCATTTTAGAAAAAAAAATCAATGATGTTTATTACACTTTGAAAAAAAAGGTTTGCAAATGAATAACCGAATCCAATTTATTATTTCGAAACCAATTTTACCAAAACATAATGTTGTTGTTGTTGTTGTTGGAAAATTATTCGAGCAAATTTTGAAGAAAGTTTTTTGTCTGTGTGTGTGTGAAAAAAAAAGTGAGAAAGATCAAAATTGAAAGGAAAACGCAAAGAATCCATTCATCTAGAAAGAGTAATTTTTTTCGTCCCCCAACTTTTTTTTGAGAAAATAAAAACAACACTGGCTCACAAACCAAATAACCATCATTACCATCACTTTCTCATCATCATCATCATCATCACGATTTATTTACACCATTTTCTTATTTTCTATAATCATCATCATCATCATCATCAGGATCGGTATTTGGTGGATGAACACAGTGAGAGTATAATCTATTTTCACATCATTAAGATTATTATTATTATTATTATTTGAATGGTAAAATGAAATGATGAAAATGAAAAAAATCTGGAAAACTAGAAAAACACATTGCATAGGTCCAATTGATGATCGAAACATGAAATGAATGAAATCCATGGGAATTTTTTTCATTTCATTTCTGTTGAATGAAATTAAAACGAAATTATCGATTATTCAACCAGGATTCCATAAAAAAAACAACAAATTCAAAGATTGAATTCTTAAAAAAAAAACATTTATCATTTTGAGCAAAAAGGAAATGATTTTTTGCAAGGTTTGTTTGTCTTCAAACATCACCAAGAACAAAAAAAAATTGATGGCAAACAAAAATGAATAAATCGAACCTTAATGATACATATCACACGCAATAACAACAACAACAACAAAAAACAAGGTTTAATCAAGGTAAACCTAAAGGTAAAACTTTTTGGGAAAATTAATTTCTATTTGGTTCTATTTGAACACAAGTGAAACGAGCAAAAAATGACAAAAAAATGACTATTTACACAGGAATATATTTTGTTTGTTTCGAAGGAATATGATTAAAAAACAAAATAAGAATTAGTTTTGATCAGTGGGAGAAATGTTTTTCATGATTAAATTGAAAATCATTATCATCAATGATGGCAACTGGAAAAACTTGAATTAATTGTGAATAGCATGATAAACTGATTAAAAAACATTATTTCATATCAAATAAACAAATGAATTGAATCAATTGAATATCGATGAATTTGAATGTTTCTTCTTCATTATTGAATGATGATTGTTTGTTTCCTCGTACAAAATATCGATACATTCAAGTCAAATTGACTGTATTTGAAATCATTTTTTCATTTTGGGCCTGTCATTTTGGGGATGTATATTATAATCATTATCCAGCCCCACCACCACCCCACCATCAACTGTATGAGAATGATCCAAGAAGAGAGAAGGGAAAAAAAATCCGAAAATGAATATGAAGACAAACAGCATTGATTTGTTTCTTCTTCTTCATAATAATAAAAGAAATCAACAACAAAAAAGAATAATGAAAGAATCGCAAAAAAAAAGAAATTCTTTAGGCCAAAAACAAACAAATTCTGCCGCATTTGATTCATTCTTATTTTCCATTGTCAAGTAAAAACGTTCAGTTCATCGTCATCGTTGTTGTTGTTGTCGTCGTCGTCGATCCGACACATATAAATCACAAATGAATTGAAATGAAAAAAAGAAAAGAAAATATCATAATAAGAATGGATGATATCATTGAATGAATTGAACGAAGAAAGAAAGAAAGAAAAAACATTTACTCAGAAATCATTTCAAATCAACTATATCATCGTTATATCTAAATTTCAGATGATAATAATGAAAATGATGATTTCTATTTAGTTGATTCATAGACCCCAAAAAATGATAATAATTCATTCAATGATGAATTTTCAATAATCAGAATAAGATACAATGAGGGGGGATCACATTGTTTTCCTGCGAATTGCATGGGGGTGGTGTGAAATACAAAATAAGAATGGTGATAATTTTCTATTTCTTCATTTTCATTTTCAACATTGTCTAATATCGATATTGTCTGTCTGTGTGTGTGTGTGATCATTATCATCAAGAAACAATGATGATTATATCATTGAATAAATTTTTGTTTTTGTTTTGTTTTCTCCAGTTCAAGTTATCACCATTTGGGAATCCATCATCTCATCATTTCAGAGAATTCATATTCGATTGATCTATATACAGTGAAAAATCTATGAAATCATTATCGAAAATAAACAGACAAAAATAATAACTGAAAATAATAATTTTTATTTACATAATAATCTTATTTCATTTATACAAAATGAATGAATGAATGAATGCAAAATTCAAATGAAAATAAATAAATAGATGATTCACGTGTATTCTGGATCTTCCTCCTTCTCATTTTTTTCTACTGAGTTGTTGTTGTTGATGTCTTCTTCTTCTTCTTCTTCATCAAGAATCTTCATTCAAAGGATTACAACTCCGACCGTTTTGTTTTGTTTTGTTTCTTGTCGAATTTATTCGATTCATTAGTTCATCAACATCATCAGGGTGAATTCAATCATTGAAATTCGTTTTTTTTTCTTCGTTGCATTCAAATTCATTGCACCGATGAGTATTTTGCTTATTTACAAATGATGATGATGAATATCGGAAATCATCAAGAAAATTCTTTTCGTTTCGTTTCGTTTGTTTTTTTCAAACCTGAATAAACATCAAATAACAGTCAATTCTTGCCAAACTTCTGTCAAAAGTTTCGTTGTTGTTGTTTACGGAGATCCAGACGAACGAGAAAAAAACATAAGAAAAAGATAAGATTGAAAAAGAAAGAAAGAAAGAAAGAAAAACAAATTTTAATGAATAAATAAACAAAAAAAAAATAAATGAATAAAACATCACCACTTTTTTTCGTCGTCTTTATCATTGATTTTATGTTTTTGTTTGATGAAAAGTAACAAAATTTGAATTGTCAATTTTCTTTTCAATTTGAATTGAATTGAATTGAATGAATCCATATAGTTGGTAATCCATTCAACAGATACAGAACATTTCAAATGAATACAATGACAACGACGACGATGATGATGATGATGATGATTTAATTCGTAATTTGTATATATATAAAATCTTACCCGAATTAGGTTCGGTTGTTGATGATTTGTTGTTATTGATTATTGTTGATGATAATGGTGATAATGAATTAATGATTGATGGATCCAATTGATGTTGTTTATGATGAAGAAGATGATGATGATGATGATGATGGGATAATGATTGTTGTTGTTGTTGTTCAATATTAGTGGATGCGGATGATGTTTGTGCATTAATCGATTGAATTTGTATACGTAATGGATACATATCATAAACACCAATATCACATTCACCACCACCTTCATCATGATAATAGATAATATTTTCACGAATATCATCATTTAAATTACTAGATTTTTGACCATCACCAATTGTATTATTGGCAGTTATCATATCATATGAATTTGATTTAAGGATTATATTGTTGTTGGATGTTTGTTCATGATCATCATTATTTTCATTATCAATATTTTGTTGTCGTTGACGTCGTTGTCGTCGTCGTCGATTACGCCAGCAAATATATCCAATATAAACAAGAACTAGAATAAAAACGAATGGAATTGATAGATAAAAAGAGAATATCATTAGCATAAATGTTTTTGTTTTTTCTTTAGGAAAAAAAGGAAAGAATTCTCAGAGATGTTTTATCCTATTTTGAATCATTGTAAACTCAAGAACTATATATGGAAATAATTTTCTATGAAAATATTTTTACGATAAATAAGCATATGTCACAAGGTTTGTTTTTATGGTTGTTGTTGATAAACAAACCAAAATATTCAAGGAAACCAAAATATTCAAAAATCATTAAAGAAAATATTGCACAAATCTGGTATCCAACGACCAGAGAGAGAGAGAAAAACACAAAATCATTAAAGTAAAAATAAAATTAAGAACCTGGATATGAAATCAAAACTAGACGAAGAAAAAAAAGTGGAAAAAAAAAATTTCATACTTTTGGAAATCATTTGCACAGAATTGTAACTCGAAACATAATCAAGAATCAACAACGACGAAGAAATTAGTTGGATGAAAAAAAAAGAAAAATCTCAAATAACATTCATTTCATTACTTTTATGTTTATCCAAAACTTTTACATTTTGTCATTTTGTGTTCAAAGGGGGGTGAAGGAAAAATATTTTGTTCCAACACTTAAGAATTACAAGAAAAACATTAAAAAGGGAAGAAAAAACTTTATGTTTCTATGATTCAACTACTATTTCTGATCACAATGTCCAAATAAATTATATTTAATTCATTTCATTTTTCATAATTATTATTATTATTAATTTCCTAATATTTACAAACATTTTCGAATGTCATTTTGATCATCATCAACAACATCATCATGTAACAATGTTTGTTTGTTTCAAAACATTCATGTTGAATTAACAACAACAACAACAACAACAACACTGAAAATGAATGTAAATCGATTATCATTTCAAATCAAATCAAACAAACAATGATTATCATCAACGGATGAACAGACAAAAAAAAACTGTCCACTTAACATTTTGATTATCAACAAAACAAAGATCAAGTGTTTGCCTGTTGTTGTTGTTGTTGTTGTTTATTATTATTATTATTTTTAATTACCATAAACCAGAACAGAAAAAAAATGAATGACAAATGAAACAAAAAAAAAACAAACAAATAAATAATCCATAATAAACAATCGGAAATTCACGGTGTAGAAAGAAAAAATCATTATTATTAAGCCATTCTGAATGTCAAAAGCAAAGTGAATAAACTTTTTGTTGTTGTTGTTGTTGTTGTCCTCACTCGTTGCATCAACAAATAATGATGATAATGATAATGATGAAACAAGATACGAAAAACGAAAACAAATTTTTCCGGTATCCGTTTTTTATCGCATAAATTCATGAAATCTCTTTTGCTGCTGCTACTGATGTTTTCAATTGAATTTCACATTGAAAAATAACAATCAATTTCAATGTAATATTTTCAAATGTGCGGGAAAAAAACACAAAAAAAACACAAAAAAAACAAGGAAATCTAATTCCCGGAAATCTGTTGTTTTTCTGTTCTTATTCANTCACAATGTCCAAATAAATTATATTTAATTCATTTCATTTTTCATAATTATTATTATTATTAATTTCCTAATATTTACAAACATTTTCGAATGTCATTTTGATCATCATCAACAACATCATCATGTAACAATGTTTGTTTGTTTCAAACATTAATGTTGAATTAACAACAACAACACTGAAAATGAATGTAAATCGATAATCATATCAAATCAAATCAAACAAACAATGATTACCATCAACGAATGAACAAAAAAACTGTCCACTTAACATTTTGATTATCAACAAATCAAAGATCAAGTGTTTGCCTGTTGTTGTTGTTTATTATTATTTTTAATTACCATAAACCAGAACAGAAAAAAATGAATGACAAATGAAACAAATGAAACAAACAAACAAATAAATAATCCATAATAAACAATCGGAAATTCACGGTGTAGGAAGAAAAAATTATTATTATTAAGCCATTCTGAATGTCAAAAGCAAAGTGAATAAACTTTTTATTGTTGTTGTTGTAATCACTCGTTGCATCAACAAATAATGATGTTGATGATAATGATGAAACAAGATACGAAAACAAATTTTTCCGGTATCTTTTTTATCGCATAAATTCATGAAATCTCTTTTGCTGCTACTGTTGATGTTTTCAATTGAATTTCACATTGAAAAATAACAATCAATTTCAATGTAATATTTTCAAAATGTGCGGGAAAAACAAGGAAATCTAATTCCCGGAAATCTGTTGTTTTTTTCTGGTTGTTATTCATTATCACTTTTTTGTTGATTTTTTTCACTATAATAAATGTTTTTTTCCTGTCAACAACAACAACAAGATGACCTCGTCTTTTTTTGTTGTTGTTTCCAATTTTGGAAATATTATATATTCACATATAGGGTTTATATAACGGTAAATTGTAAATTAATCATTGAAAATATCTAAATAATAATAATAAAATGATGAATGAAACAACCGAAAAACAAGTATGGCGTGGGTGTTGTTACGCATGTAGACAAAGAATCAAAGCTGATAGAATCTCATATAATCAACAAAAAAATAAGCAAATAAAATTCTGGATTCTTGTAGTTTCTTCTTTTCCTTCATTCTGTATTATTTGCGGTTCGTTTCACATTATTATTATTATTATTATTATGCTTTCATTGTGCATTGGTCTTCTTCTTTTTCATTTCGGTTCTTGTTTTGGTTTTGTGGTTATGTTGTTGTTGTTGAACAATTATTTATAACAACAACAACAACAACAACAACAACAACGACAACAACAATAATAATAATAATAATTTTTATTATCCATCCATTTCATTATAATAACCAGTGTTTCGAGTTTGAAACCAACACAGAATACATACATACACACACTCTTCTTTTTTTTAGTTTTTTCAACAAAAAAAAAAAAAAAAAGGTTCATTCGTCATTCTTTTTTCCCCAAGTTCACTTTATAAACCAAAAAAAATTTAGAATTTATTC